TGTTGTCTGTGTCCGCTAGGGATGCTGGGACGTGTCAGCGGCTGGGTTTGGCGCAGCGTCAATTCGTTTTGGCCGAGCTTTGGCCGAAAGAAGATTCCAATTATTGTCGCTTGCTCGCTCCAACAATCAATGAAGAACGAAATGGCGCTGCGCCAAACCCAGCCTCCCCGACACGCCCTCGGCATCCGCAGCGAACAAGACTCCACTTAGACTTTATATTCCGGGAATGGGAAGGGTGTAGCAATGGACATCACTTATAGGATGGTTTTCCTGGAATATTCCCTCCAGGGTAAGTGTCATCATGCCATGTGCTTGACAGAGGCATGATTGCAATTGTCCAAACAAAAAGAGACTATCCCATCAGATTCGCAATTGCACCACGTTCAGATAAAGTGCGCAGCCAGGCCCTCCGCTTCTTCAGGCTAAAGAGTGCACATAACCTCGCCAAAATACTTCAATAGACTTTTTGTTTTTAGGAGAAACAAGGCGTCAATTCATTTGCTTCAAAGGCCAGTCTCAGAGTACAGGCTCGGGTTTCTCTTAGACCTACCAGTGAGAACCTAATAGGGAATGAGTACTATTTACTGGAGCAGGACCCATTCTCTTAAGGTTCATCAAAGCTACGAAAATGAGGATATTCACCCTTTTGACGGGAGCCAAAACAAAAAAATGCAAATTTTGTAATCAAGCTGCTTATGCTGCAATTTAGTGCCCAGTTTCTGCTATGCATAAACACGGCACCCAATTGTCCGTGCGATGAAATGGCCCTAAAATTTTTGAGCTCTCGCCGTTTGCCTACGAACCGATGGTGTTGTTTGTCGTTAAAGCTTCCAAGCCGTGAAGCACGTTTTTGGGTAAAACGGCTTTCAAGGGTAGGAGTCCGGGAGTTCAGAGGAACCTTATTTTTGGCAAGGGGCGGAGCTGCGCACCACTGTGTAGGAGGAGGCTTTGATTGTTTGATGTCGCCTATTCATGGAAACTTCTCCTGAACTTTGCAGGAAACTGAGAGAGCTCCTTTTACATGCGACCTGTCACTGACCACTTCAGCATGGCTTTTACTTTACGGTCGAACGCGCCTCTATTTGATTTGCCATTTACTGAGCCTATATTTTTTCCGTTTCTTCAATTACACAATGTTCTCTTTGAGACAAATGGGGTTTAATGCCTTACAGCGACGCTTTTTAACAAGTTTTCGGCGTCTAACAGTCAGTTGGAATAAGCCCTGTCTTAAACTTCTTGTTTTAGTGCGCAAGAATTTTGCATTGCTTCATAAGGTGACATGAAGGCATGTCAAGATGTTAGTGCAGGTGTTCAGCTATAAATCTGCAGACATTTTGATAAACTAGTTGGAAAATGGAAAACTTCAAATGCTCTCTGACTTTCCACAAGCGCTCTGAGGAGAGGTGGGAAGGGGGCAAACCAGTGCGACCGCTATTTTCAGTGCAGTAGGCGTCTTTCGCCCTGAGGTGGTGTCAACTTCTAGGAGTCAGAGGCCTCCAATGCATTTGCCTGCACTCCTAGGCCTCAAATGTGGAGCCCACACTTGACCTACTTTCCTCCCACTAGGAGGGTGCTCCACTTCTCAACTCACTGTGGAATGTTCTGTTTATAGTTCCTACCCTAGTAGGCAACCCTAATCTTTTATCTTGGGTAGACTCTCAGTATCTAACACGTCTCTGTCTACGAAGGAATGATAGCTAACGCGTAACACTCAGGTCAGAACAAGATGTCTACGAGACTGTACCCACCACATGTAAAGTACTGTACTATACAGCCCCATGAGCAAAGTTGCTGCTTATTGGTAATCCTTTTTATCCTTTTGAATTCAAAAAAGGCAGCTGTCCTCCTCTCCTTGTAAGATTAGCGTCCTCTACGCATTCCTGAATTCCAACCATTGTACATCATCGCTGGGGACTCCCCAACGAGGGGTCGTACATTTAACGTCGCCACAATTGTCGGGTGGCAATCAGCGGTTTTCACCTGCGGCGTTTCCATCTATGATTATTTTCTTCTATTGATCTCTACCCGATCGCCATTGGTAGATCAAGGTAGCCGAACTCGAACCGCGCTGCTCACCCCGCCTCCGACAGTCCGCAGCGATGAGGACTGCATTTTCCTTGCTACTTTTTCGTTTCGGGTGCACAATATACGCCCTACTCTCCCCCCCCCGCCCGCTCGTCAGCTTGATCAAAGGGAGCCAGGGGGGGGGGGTGGCACAAGCTATCACTTTTCAAGGGGAGGGGCCGTACGGACTCGACCAAAACCCTCAACTAATGAAGTGCCCTGAATTTCAACTTCTGTCCCATTTCTGTTATGTTTCGGCTTCGGAACAAATTCTGGCGAGTGCTCAGGTAGATCCACTCCGTTTAGACTATCGGCAGCCTCAGAACCGTCATTCCATTATTGATGACTCTGCCTCCTATTTACCAGTTACACCCCATTCTCTTACCCGAATGTACGCATCTAGCTGGACGACATGGCATTATTGTCACACAATGAGTTTTTACTGGACTATTTCTAATATTTCAGTTAATTTCGGACTATTCCAGATTTTCCAAGAAGTTGTTAATAATGAGTCCCTCGAATAGCTATAAATCTCTGGATTCATCAACAAATTTTATCTAAATGCGCCATATTGACGCTTTCGAACACTGTACGGCATTATAACTCCGCTAGCGGGTGTGAAGTAGACATTTGGTACCCTCTGGGGGATTCATTCCTAAGTTACGCCGAGTTTGTTTTCCATCTGTTCCAGCAGAAATACGGAGCTAGGTCGCTACTTCGCCTACTCTTTACATCAAACTCTTTAAGCCCGTCATTTATCTTAGCATTACAGTTGTACATTTGTAAGTAATTCAACTTTCGAAAGTAGCCCACCATGTAGACTGGCCTGTTTTTTTTCTCCTTTCCAAGGCCACATACTAATGATACAAAACTTGTACAAGTCAGTCCTTCATCATAGGTAGACTCTTCTCCACTACCTCTCAGTCTATCAACGCTAGCTAGTGTGTAATACTGAAATCCGAAGTTCGCGCTTGAATAGAAGTCTATGAGGTTGTATCCAACGCACGTACAGTACTGTGCTTTACTGGTATATGCGCCGAGTTTTACTTATTGATACTAGTTCTGCAGAAATTCACTTCCAGCCATTCTCAGCGTGCGTTCATTATTTTTCACGAAATCAAAATACTTCGTGAAAGATAAAGAGGTCATGAAGGAAAACCACCTAACTGGTTAGTCCACGAGCGTTATCTCTTCTAACAATGAAATACAATGAAATACAAAGTACATTTGATATCGCCGCACTTAGTCGATGCGGTGTCATTAGACATGGGATAAACCCTCCCGCGTTCTCTATACCAGTGGCAAGCTGGAAACTCGCCTCCGCCTCCGTGGATCGTATACCTTGCCATGGGCAAGGTGAATGAGTCCGCAACACTGCAGAAGACCTTTTCGCTGTCTACTACCGCTCAGGGGGTTTTAAATGCTGAGTCTTGGTATGGAGCCAAGTACTGCACCCGAATCTCGGACTGACGGCACTCGGGTATCGCTACCCTTAGGCTCCGTTCTCGGAGCGGAGAAAGTGGCACGCTTCCGCAGCTGCGGATCTTCCTCTGCACTTGGAAAAGTCTGTCCTCGTACTGTGAAGTTTGGCTTGAGGAGAGCTTTGGGGAGGGGGATGTGGGAGAAGGGGGCATTACAGACCCGCTCGTTTCTTCTGCTAGTCCATGTCATCTAAATGGCCTCCTTTTGGTGAGACTTTTGAGCTCTTGTGAAACTGCGAAATGATAAACGTGAACCACTTCAGTCACAGGTCTTCACGAGGTGGCCTACACAAGCCTCAATGAGGGCCATTTAATTCCTCCCTCAAGCCAAGCCTTTTCATTCAGATTAACGGGAGCTTAACCACGAAATACCAAGGTGTGCAGTGCCATGAGGGCCTACTGATACAAAAGGACTGATATGTTTTTATCCTCCTTAACATAAAGGCTAGCTATATATTGTCCGAAAGAATTTCATTGGGTAGGACGAGGTTCTAGTCGAAGAGCTGACAGAGAAACCCCTTTCGTATGTCACTTATTAGCCTTACTGGTAGTTGTTTGAGTGGATCGATATTCCATTCACAACGTGAACGACCCCCACACCCCCCCCCCCCCCCCACCACCCCCCCCCGCCACCCCTGCGCTCCATGACCTACAGAAATCGACCGAGTCCAAGCCTATCTACACTATCTACCCGACCCCCCATGAGTAAGTTATCTCTACCCCCTACGCCGTCACATGACCTATACATCTATACGGAACACGCACGAGTGCCTCACGCACGAGCTACAGCTCTCAACCACCAGCCCCCCCCCACCCCCCCACCCCCCACCCACCCCCTGAATTACTCACCCGCTGGCCACTGATGAATCTCGGCGACTCACTCGGTCCCTCTAGACCACACCACACATTAGACCTATTGACACCACGGCCTTATTTTCGAATAGTATACAGTCAGACAAAATAACTCGCGATACGGTCGCCGTCAGAACATACGATCGACACTTCATAATAATGACATATCACTAATAACGCAGAGCGCCACCTCACATCGAAGACCATCCACTCGCCACATCACTATACACGAACGACCGCATAGACAGCAGACTCACTCAAACCCACCTCCACTTGCGACGCCAATCTCCACACGTTTCAGCAGCAACATTATCTAGCTCACCCCCACCACACACCCCTTCCTCACTCACTCTCCCAACCCCCCCCCCCTCACCCACCAATCCTTCCTGTTGCGTGGGACAAGTGTCACGTGTGTTACTCTTCTAGACTACTTTGTATACTAAATGTAACATCCTCTCGTTTTAGGAGACAATTAGAGCATGGCATGTCCTTTGAGTAGGTCACAATTGATACTTGATCCGCCTATCCGTATCATTTGCCGGCAATTAATGAAAAAAATAAGTTCATTTTAGTAAGTTGTATTCTAGTAAAAACGGTCCAGCCATGCTGAAAGGAATGCTTCTCTCGTTGCTGGTTTTTGTCACACTTCTATTCAGTGCCTATTCTGAAACCGTAAGCAGTTTTTTTTCACTTTCTTTTGAGCTCACTTTAAAACTTCAATTGTACTTTTAGCGCGCTAAAAGAGCGATCAATCCGTTTCTGGACTCAATGGGCAAGAGAGCAGTGAATCCATTTTTGGATTCCTTCGGAAAACGATCATCACAATACCAGCCATACTTCTATCATCAAAAGAGGTTTTTTCATTTATTGTTCTATGAACTGCCCAAAACGAATTGAGGCGGAACTACCGTATCCACAGTGGTCCTACGCGGAACCTCAAGTGAGCTCACTTAGTTTAAAAACCCCGGAGTCAGGTGAAAATTGACCTCTGTACGGATCCCAGCAATTATAGTAACTAGAATACTAGTTTCGCGTTTCTACCGATTCAACCTTACCTTGATTGTTCAGCACTAGATTAGTACTACACTAAACCCTATGGCGTTCAGCACTAAAGCAGAACTACAGTGACCGTTGATGGCTATCTCTGAAGCAGTGACATGGAAGTTGACTTTCCAGGGAAAAACTTCATATTCATATGTTGTTTATGGGATTGCCTCATCAAAGCATGTGAAGAAAATTACTCCTATTTTGGTTACAAGTATTAATGAAAAGTAACCGAATTAGCGGAAAGGAGAAGGTAGAGTATGGGTAACTCTCCAGAAAGTAAGCGAAAACTGTGGGATTTATGCACTTTTTCAATTCAAGTACTTGTGAACCTATCAGTACTCTTAATCAGTCCAAGTATGGTAATGACTCTCGTAAATCTAGGAAACTGAAGTAGGAGGAAAAGCTGAGATGTTAATTTTTTCTGAAAACTGAAACTATAAATTATGGGATGTTGTAATAAATAAACGGATCCTATTTCAGGTACTTTGATAGCTTGGCCGGCCAGTCACTCGGCAAGCGCTCAATTCAAGCCTATGACGCTTAGCATGGAGACGAACGTGTAACGCAGATAAATATGTGCCGAGCTGCTGCTTCTGAAGGGCCGTGATCATTTTGTTGATAATAAATTATGTGCTTGGAACTCTCATGGTCTACACAGTACGGAATATTCTCAAATTGGGTATTCTAAGCTTTGTGAGCATCCGGGATAGCCTCTGTCATCGGATCTAAAACTATAACTCTGCCACAGTAGTACTCTACTAAACAAATGCATTCACAATCACATCTATCACGCTGAGGAACAATCGGAAATTTGTGTATGACACTGGAGACCCTGAACCAACTTTTCAAACAATTACTTCCTTCTTACGTTCATGGATAATCAACTTCTTTCGGTAATGGCATAGCATTTCTCTAAAGTGAACGCCAGTTTTGCGAAAATGGCTCTCAGCTGGGACACATTCGTACCGCTGTGTCTTCAACCTTGGCAGAGGTCAAATTTATTGCAGGCTCGTAGCAGCATAGTTTGATGTACGATTAATTAATTAATTGAGCGTAGAAAACCATACTCACTAGTCATCTGTCCTGAAGAGCGGTGAAACAGATTTACTTGTGGCGCATTGGGGCTTGAGGCGTCACTAATCGAAAGTGAATGCCGATTTCCAAGATCGGCTCATTAGGTTCCTTGGAAAATACAGAGGCGGTAAATTTTGATCTACTCAAGCGATACATGAGCACTGCGGAGCCCACCCACTGACCTTTGGTCAATTACCAGTCATTATCAAAAAGCACAATTAAATTAAAGGGCAGCTGCACGGATAACTCTGGAAAGTGTAGGACTAATACGCCTAGCAGGACTGAATTTAACGCCCCAGAGCAAGCGGTATGTGGCGCTCCCGAGGAAGTTACCCTAATAGCGCCCTATTAAGCAGCAACATACCGACCCGAACGTACACCGCGCCCGCCCGCCTACACTTGTCCGACCGATCCTGATACACGGATCGCTTCATTTGCGAAGCAAAGGGATTTATATGAAGCAGCAGCGGTGTTGCATGGATGTGTGAGTACATACTTGCAGCCGTATTTACATAGCCATTATGGCGAGATGCCAAGCGGGAAACTCATGCCGCAAATGCTTTCTGAAGTTTAGAACAAAGGTTTTTTGCAGATTTTCCGTTTCACTTACCCGTTTCATCGCTTCCCACGACGTTCAGCACCCCTGCTACCCTTTTAGACAAGAGCACGCAAATTAAATCGGCCAACTTACTTTCCTTTGAGTAGCTCCAAAGAACGGAATCAAGGGAAGGTGCGGCCAGGGGCGTGTTCTTATTACTCGTAAATAAAGTAAGGAGGCTTAAGTGGCGATAGTTTGTGGAATACAAATGAACTGCCGCCATGGTGCGTTCGCGTCTTCAGCGCTGGTTTGTCACACACACAATATAGGTAGAATAGAGACACTTTATCATCAGTAAAGCCTTCAGAGCCTGGCCGTTTCACGGAAGAAGACGATGCGCTGAGTATCCCGAGCGCACTGGATACGCTGCTGAACTATTCATCCCTTGCAGGTAGCAGTTTCCTCCTTGAGCATTAGACTGACAAGAAGCCAGGCGTATAATTACGCCTGCCTCATTGGTGTGCTCCTCCTGATTCTGATGCCGTAGATAAAAGGAAGGCACAGTGAGAGGGATGACTCCACCCACATGACGAGCGCGAAATGGTGGGAGATCAATTGGCATCATTTTTTGAGAAAGCGCCTTGCTCAAAATAAAGGATTTTGGATGTAGCAAAAAATGGTGGCTCAATGAGGTAGTATCTTGGATTGTTCCTTAGAAGTTGATCACCTAGTATTAGGTAGGCGGGAAAGTTCTGTCACACTTTTCGAACTCAAATACGTTGCCATTACCTGGAGAGGAGCACCGGTAATATGAGCAATTTATTGCAAGTAATAATTGACTCGTTCCTATCAGTGTCACTGCTTCGGCCCTGCCTCATCCTTATTTACATTATGGACGAGAATGCTTATTGCTACCTCACACTCGACCGCCTTCAAGCCCTTCTTAAAGTACACATAGTAAGGCTTGCAATGACACATTGAGGGTGTATGAGACTATCAGCCCCCCAGATGTCGATGTGTCGTGGTCCCCCCGCCCAAACATGCCCGGGAATGGAGATACAGGGCCGTGAAACACGCTAATTCTTCCATGCTCCGCCCACTGCCTTTTACGGCGCAGATTCCCGCCGTTCATAACATCCGTTGCAAGCGCGCCTGTCGCGTGCGGCTCCTTGGCACTTTGCCAAGTCCTTTAATTGCGCTCTCAAACAGGAAAACGCAATTTCCTGATGCGGATAACATTGGAGGTGCTACAAAATAAGAGCAGAAGATGATGACAAGGGGCAGAACTCAAGAGCAACTCGGCTGCATCTGCAGTATCCATCAAGGGCCGCGCATTCCCACAAAACATGAAAATAAAAACAGCCCAAGCGTCCCACTCGTTTGTTCTAAGTATTTCTATGGCTTTGGCGCCGGATCGTAGAAATTTACAGGCCAGTTTATCTAATTTGCCTTTCCTTGATTTTTTCATTTTTGTTTTGTTTACATTTACATCGTTGTGCTTCATTTCTAGCCTGTGTCATCTTCATCTCCTTGTACATGGATTTTGAAGCATGAGCAACACCTTAAATTTTATTCGCATCAGGAAATTGCGTCTTGCTTGTATTAAACTAACGAGTATGCCGTTTTTAGTTTTTATTTTCATGTTTCGTGGAAATACGTGGCCTCCGAGGGATGTTGCAGAAGTGGCACAGTTTAAGTTCTGACCCTCGTCATCATCTTCTGCTCTTATTTTGTAGCACCTCCAATGTTATCCGCATCAGGAAATTGCGTTTTACTTGTATTTGAGAGCGCAATTAAAGGACTTGGCAAAGTGCCAAGGAGCCGCACGCGACAGGCGCGCTTGCAACGGATGTTATGAACGGCGGGAATCTGCGCCGTAAAAAGGCAGTGGGCGGAGCATGGAAGAATTAGCGTGTTTCACGGCCCTGTATCTCCATTCCTGGGCATGTTTGGCGGGGGACCACGACACATCGACATCTGGGGGCTGATAGTCTCATACACCCTCAATGTGTATGAGCGTACAGTTGTCTTGTAAACTATGATTCTTCTACCACCCTGGCCAGCATGGCAGCTGTCGACGCCGAAATAATGGAGCTGCACAAGGACAATGTCTACAGTCATCAGACAATCTTCCACGACGCTAGCTCTTCAGAGCGGGAGCCTACGGTTCGAAATGACGAAGTGAGGTTCGGGAGTACCTGTAAACTC